TCAATTCATTCCAAGTTCTTAAATAGCTGGCTAATTTAAAGTGCTAATTTGACCAGTACAGAGAAAAAAAACAGACTTTCAAGTCTAATAAACGATGCCAACGCAACCTTAAGTTTACAAGCCGATTGGCCATGATGTTGTCGTAATAAAAGTTTATTGGTAGATAACAGTGCATAATAATGCTTTGCAAAGAACTGTTACTGTGCCATTCGAAAAAGTTTTAACCAACATTAATTAGACAAGGTTTTTTTGTTTTTCCCATTGCTTAGCCCATGAAAAACTAGGTTGGAATGAAATTCGTGCGGTTTTTCGCATCGTTTGTATCAGCCTCAATTTTAATAGGCAAGCTTTGCAAACTTGTGTGGCTCTCCACTATTGGGACATTTACCATATAAGGTCGACTGAAATATCAGACGGTATTACGTAGGACTTTTTCCGTGTGTACATAGCTTTATCTAAACACGAAGAGGGTTGGGGGAATTAGTTAGAGGTAGTTATGCAAACCCTCGACTACGTCTCGGTTTTGCATAACTTTCGAGAATTCTCCCAACCTTCCGAGTGTTTAGTTAAGGCTACGTAAACACGGAAAAAGTGCTCTATAGCTTTTCTAAAATAATTCTTAAAAATACGCGCGAATCTAAAGCGTCACAACCGTGTTTGCACACTGTCATCTAAACACACCTATCCACCGATGAGAGTGGGTAGCAGCTAAGTTTTGTGATAAATTCAGTGTAATATTTAACAATTATTCCACGAGCGCGCATTGGATATGAAATGGTAAATAGCCAACGAGGAGTTGGCCATAACCAATCTCTATCCAACAAGCGCGAATGGAATAATTGACGACAACATTAATCTTTACTTTCTTTCATTTTTAAATTACATGATGTTTGGCCCGCGGATAACAAGTGCTAATCTTTACGCTTGAATACTTGAAAATTATAACTTACTTCTATTGAGTGCGGCCGGAACAAGTGGGAAATCACATGACATGCGCACGATTTGTAAACTTAGTTGAATAAAACTTTGAAAGCGAAGTTAGCGAGTCTGTTGAACGAAAATTACCGACAATCATTTAGAATTCAAAGAACGTCTACCAAATGAAGGAGATACAACCCTGGTCAGAAAGTTTGAAAAGCGTTCAGGTTTGAGTCATCGAGGAAGGCAGTAATTGTGCACATTGCAGTTGTAAAAGTTCTGCGGAAAACTTTGATCGCCATGTGACACAGACGTCGCGCTAAAATTATATTCTCGACAATAACTCTTTCAGCGTTCCCTTGCTGTGACTGCCTTGGCATTTGGAGCTGGATGTGTGAGCTGATTGCTGGCCAGTTTCAGAATCATGGACAGAAAATATCTTAGCGTCGGATTCATCTTCAGAATCTCTGAGGCCACCCTGATGGTTTTTCGTGGCTGGTAAAGAACCGGGCTGACTTCGGTTCAGCTCAAAATACTCAACTCCTTGAAGGGATTTTTGTAATGATAGAATTGTTGGCGTTAGATGGCGTTGATTCTCTCGTCCTCGTCGGCCAAAAAGAGACCGAGGTAAAACCAAGGTCGTCCTCTACAGCTGTGCGGGATTTTTGCTCTCGGCCGGTTCAAGTTCTTTCTTCTTCGCAGACGTGTAAAAACACTTCAGACAAACTTTCAGTTCTTCTTTTGACATTTCTTCTATCGGTTTCGAAAATTTGGTGCCACAGGGACTGAGCTAGGACTATAAAGCAATTCTGTAACATCAAGGTTAACATTGTTGTTGTTACATAATTTTTTCGACGATCATATTTGAAATTTTAGCGGAGCTTCGACGGCCCGAAGGTCCGCTAGGCGGAGCCCCATACTAACAGAAACCCGTAAATCGCTTTTCTCGTGGCAAAAATGGCTAGCGGCTATTACTCGTGGGCGCGTACGTATGATGACGACGGCGGCGGCGGCGACGACGACGTTGCACATCATGGCGGCCATACCCCAGCTAATAGAATATGCGGCCATAGTTAACAGCGCACATCGTTGATATTGAACATCCATTTTATCGTCAGTTGACACCGGGCAAAACAAGGTATACGCTGACCAGTATCACGTGGCCATATTGCGGGGCTCAAGTTTTGAGCTCAAGTACCGGCTTTTCTATTTGATCGCGAGCTCAAACCAGGTTAACTTACTGTAATCAGGGGTCCGTTTCTCGAAGGTCCCGAAAGGTTTTCGCACCCGGAAAGCCATAGCAAAATCTCAAACCTTATGATTACAGAGCTGTTTTATTAGCATATTCTCAATATGAACAGAGGTTCCCTTCATACCACAAGTTTCAGGCGCACAAACCTCTCTGTTTTTAGATACAGATTAACTAAAAATGGCTTTGCGGGCCCGAAAAGTTTTCGGGGCTTTTGAGAAACGGGCCCCAGGGCTGGGTTGTTCGGAACAGAGCCGGTTAATGCTAACCCAGGATTAGAAGCTAACCGAAGTACAAAGTTTTCCTGTTCAAAATGTTTTTCACTGTTTATGTTTTGTGTAGTTTGAGATTATTCAAACTCAGCACGCCAAACAGTATTAGCAGAAAATCTCGCCGCCAAGTTAAAAAAAAGAAAAAACTCAGATCAAATTTCTCACTTATCCTGGGTTAGTTTAATCAGGCTTTGAACAACCCGGCCCAGGAGCTCCGCTTAGGCTTGGCTAAATCCATATATATTGCAACTTTTTAGGGAAACTTAAGGGATTTTAGAATTTGATAACCGTACCCGTTAAAAAATCTCATCCCGAATTTTGTGGCTTCTTTTGTTGTTACTGAGACGGCCTTGTCCATAATTTCTTGTATTTCTTCTGTAAATAACTCACCGAATCTGGTTTTTTCATCCATTTTCCTTGTCGACGGAACTTGGCTNCCCTCTTGATTTCAATATGTTAGTGATTTTCAGCTCGCAAAACATTAAACGAGGCCACAAACTTGAGCTAACATATTTATATGCTTGCTGGATCAAGCACATGAGGCACCATTTGCAAATATCAAAATGGAACGCCAAAGGTGGCCAGAAATGCCTTTAATATTGGGGTGGTCTGGAACCCAGTGTGTTGCCGTGGTAACCAAACTGTTCACCTCGCATTGTGGAGCACATCTAGTAGAATCTTACTGCAAAGAATCGAACATTTCTGATTCAAATTGGCTGAGATATCTTTTTCATCATATTTGATCAAAATTTGGTTGTGTATGACATCACTGGTGCAATTTGCATATTTTAAAAACTTAAATATCTCTGGAACGAAGAGATATTTGAATGTAGTAAACAGCATTTTTCGTCTCACACAGGCTACTTGTTTGTGTTTTAAAATGGCTGCGATAGGAAAGATGCGATTTTCGTCATAGTACCACTTTAAATGTATTAGCCCATGCACGACTTGTGGACAAAGCGTGATAATGTAGGGTTTTTTGGTGTCGAATGTGGAAGAGAATTTGGTGGCTTTGATAGTATCACTGCAAAGTAATCTACAAAGGTTTCTTCGCAAGGTAAAGTTTAGTTTGCCTTCGATTTTTATCTCGGAAAGCAAGACAGGGACGTAGGCAGGATTTTTCAAAGATTGTCATGTCTTCCTGCACGCCGCGTTTTACGTTTTCGCCACCCGTTGTAGGTTGTTTGCTTAAAAAAGACTTACAAAAAGGGGGGGACTACGGGCACTCCAGGACTTCCCCCCCCCCAGCTACGCCCCTGCAGGAGACCATGATGTAGATCATCGTCTCTTGCAGAAAGTTGGGAAAACAGTGTTTGTTTATATTTTACTCTCTAGCCTGTGTTACAGGCCGTAAAGAAACCCTTTTGAATTAAAATTGCAATCTCTAAGGTCCGAAATTCGACAAGTCCAAAAAAACACCTAACCGTACAAGCCGAAGTGGCACACATTTCACGTTACGGGTGTCAATGCAGACGTCCCAGGAGACTTTAGAACGATAATTACATCCGACTGACATGTGAACTGGTTGCTGAGTTAAAAAAAAAGTTGGTTTTAGTAGAGCTTTGAAGTTAAAGAAAACAGTTGCTCCGATGTCGAACCAACAAAGTATAAATATTCAGAGTAAGATGGAGTGGTGTGTTCGTCAATTTTCGATGGGGCCCTAACATCAGAGAACGAATTAGCGAGCAGATATAAATTACGGAAATAAACTGTGAATACACTTTGTATGTTGCATATCTCGCTATACATCAACACGTGTCAATGTGCTAGCCTGCATTGGTGAAAATACGGCTCGGTTTACTTACATGGCATTATTTGGTTTGGTAGTAGCTGAAAGAAGGTCCAAGGAGGAATGGTGTGTTTGCAATGAACGTTACAAAACTGTGAAACTAGCTTTCTCAAGGGCAGCTATTTGCCTCCACTACTTCCATCCTCCAGCAGCAGTGTGTGATGTAGCCTAAGGGACCTTTTGATCTCTTATTTTGATATTTTACTTGCTATTCTTCCAAGTATGCAAACAAACGTAAACGAGAAAACTTAATTCAGAAAAAAATAAATAAATAAATAAATAAAATAAAATAGCGCCGCATCAAAAGGCATGTTCGACCTAATTTAGAGTACGCGAATGAGCCAATGAGAAAATTGCAGAGAAAAACTGACGAATGCGCTTTTCTCTCCCAGTTTCCCTTCAGCTTGTTCGCTCGAGGGTCTTCAGCAGTCTAGCACATGGATTGTTCTGCGATGGGAAATTAGGTTTTAAAGTTGTTCACCCATACTTTCTCTTCATTCACCACGGGATATTAAATTTTTCGAAGTACATTTTCAACCTAATGAACTGAATTACGTCATCAAAACGTGAATACTCAGTGAAGTTTGAAAATAACTTTTCATAAATAGCCCCCGCCTCCAACGCTACAATTAATAAGCACACCAGCCCAAATATGCGATCGGAGAACCCTTACTCATTGATAACTGTTTTTGTGGTAGATCACCGAGTAAATAAATCATAACCTGTACTGAAGGAAAGAAGAAAATTTCACAATTTAAGACTTGGCCTGTGAAGCTCTGTGAAGAGGAAAACGAGGAAGAAAAACCCTAAGGCCAAGCGTGTAAATTGCGTGCGTTTTGTTTGAAAAGCTCATGAACAATCCTTCTATTAGTTGCTAATGCTAAGGAACGAAGAAATTCACGAGACGCTCAGTAGAAGCCAGACGAAATATAATAATTTGAACTCAAACAAGCAGTAGGAAGACATAGGGTTATCTCGCGATTATCTTTTCTGCTATAAAGGATTAGCCGCGGCTAAGCTTTAGGTATTCGCGTAGTAACTACAGAGATCTGCACACGTTAAGTATTTCCTTGGCGTTTTCCATCGTACACTCACTCACTCACTCACTCACTCACTCACTCATTCATCCTCTTCGCTCCTGTGATTGGAGCACGAGGCTATATATTTTTTTGACCGTGCAGTCACCATAACACTTCCGCTGTCTCAGTCTGGCCCTTCGCAACAGGGATTGGTTTTGTATGAAAACTTTCGACCCAGTTTCAATGCTGCCTTATACAGGTAAACAAAACTCCTGTTAGTAATCAAAAAGGGGAGGGAGACGGAGAAAATCGAATTCAAGCGCCGACTCCCCCCCCNAACCACACTCCATCTCTCTCCCCTGTAAACGCCTGCCACGCTGGCAAATTGAAAGGAAACTGAAGTGATGATACGAAGGCCAACCCATCATAACGTAATGCAGATGTGAACCCCACAATAAAACTGAGGAAACTTTACAACCCACCCAACCACAGAGACAGCTCCTGCTTTATTAGTTCATTAGCCCGTCGCATAAGAGCAGAGCATTTGAAGAAACTACATCACAACAAGACATTTCATAACATTTAATTTGTTGGTTCGTAACCAAGTTACAACTTGGGTCGTATTTCTTGTACATATAATTCAGTACTTGTACATAAATTTGTACTGTTCCTTTGAATAAGTTACGTATGACGAATACAGCGTCGAAATTTACTGTGAAAAGCACGAATAATACAACAACAATAAACATTGCTCATTTCTTTAACAGTTATTTCCCTCTCCACGTACGGTTAAAAAATATGCGTTAATAATCTTTTGGTGACATAACTGTCATATGAACGCTGTGGTTATAAAACAAGCCTCAGCTGATCCTCTATACAAGTACTCTGAGAGGCTATGTAACTACAACTAATTCAACTAAAATAATGATTAAACACTACAATTTCTTAACTTACATTTAACCATACTTAGAGCTAGTTCGGCACTATTGCCTAGATCATTGTGTTCTGGTGTTGCCTTGCCTCATACGGACGGTAGATTAGAGTCGTGACTGTTTCCTTGATGATAACCAGGAGGTGTGCTCTTTGAAGGAAATAGGAAAAATAGGTAAACACTTAGTACATGTGTCTACTGTTGCTTTCATAATGGGCAATGAAGAACTATGTGAGTAAACAGCATATACCTTAATTGCTAAAGGATGTTTCGTTCAAACGTTATATCTCTCTTGATATGCTATTCCCATGTGCCAAACGTTTTACTCCGAGATACGTAATTTCATCCCAACTCGGGCTCACTTTCCAAAAAAGTTCATATTTCAGCTTTTTATCCTTTAGATTGATCTCACCTTTCTTCACATGGTCCACACTCAATTTACCTAATACAGAAATGCTTTCAATTTGGCTTGAGAAAAGCAAAGGGGGATAGAGTTTTGCATTAATTTCAAAATTGCACTTCGCTTGTCAACTTATTGCTTTCTAACAGCAATGAAATTGTAGCGTAGTTTTAGCAGCAATTGCTTGAACTACACTACAAACCTCAAATGTTAACGAAAGATTAAAACAAGGTACCCATACAAAAACACAAGACCCTTGATAGTTTTTCTTGTGGCGCATCTGCCAACAAGTCACAGTATAATGTCATCTTGCAACCGAAACACGTAACAAGTTATTCACTTCATCATAGCATTGATGTCAATAGTTGCATAAAGAATAAAAACGCGCCACCGTTCTAAAACGAAAAAGATTGACCTGGAAATATGAATAATGTGCCTTCGTCGACTTGTTTTTTCCAATCCAAAACAAAGACTAAGATAACATGTGAACACGAGTGATGCATGTCTTACCTGCCGTTGTGATGTGCCATTCTGGAAAGGAGTTAAGTTTGTAATGTGAGGCATCATCGAGATTGAAGTTTTAACACTTTTAGAGCTCTTTCCAGTCTTAAGGCTGTTCTTGGCTAGTGAGTGAAACAGTACCAATGTAAGACAAAGAAGCAGAGAGAAAAGGCAGTAAATCACTTTAAAAGAACTTTAACAAGATAGGAGCAAATGAGTAAGTTTCCTGAGCACCATAGCTTAATGCAAAAACACTTATGAAAATGTTTCTTCCAGCTATCATGATCTGAAACCATGTAATTGCTCAGAAAAGGCTAAAGCGGTAAGTATAAAGTTCTATAAACCGCTGTCTTCTCCAGGAAAAACAAATGCAAAAATTTGTACTTTGAACACAACACAATAGTGTACACATTCCTGCTGAATATACAATTACCCATGAATAGCTATAATCTCAATACATTTTTAGCGCTCTGCGACTGAAACAACCGAGTGTCCAGACGAGACACGCAATCGGCTCAGCTGTTAGTAATATACTGTACTTATCTTGTAACTCCCAACAGGATCGCGGCAAAACTATATGACCAATCAGATCAGTTTTAGTTAATTATAAACACAACTGACTGGGAGACATTTCAATTGATCTCTGACTTACTGTCATAATGCCAGTCCCAGTAACACTTTTCAGGACAACATGCACCTTAACCCAGAAGATCACACTATACGAATTACTGGCACTCCAGACTTTCATCTAAACCGTACCTTCTGCTCCTGGTACATCGGGTAAATGCGGAAACTCATTCTCTCCTCTCGACCGTTCTCTCTCCTTTTCCTTGTCTTTATCCCGTTTCTTTTTGTAGTTTGACTCTAACGATGATCTTTCACTATGCCTGCTGCCGAGGTCAAAGTTACTTGAAGTTTTTTGATCATAATAAGAGTCGGATGTGGAATATAATGGTGTGCTATGATGATTTGGTGGAGGGACACTTGTCTTTTTAGAGTATGAAGGAGGCGTTTTCTTTAGTTTGCTGTCATTTACAACTCTGAAAAATATACAACAGATAATAGAAAGGCATTGCTACTTCCAAAATCACCGCAAAGCATGAAATCGCCCAAAAAGATTAAGACGATTTCCGCAGAACATTCGAGCAATAACGGCAAAAATTAAGTTACTAAAAAAACCTCATGGCATGGTAACATTTTGAACACAGTTAAGAACTTATCAAGACTTAAGCTCTCAAGCTGACCCTGTGAGGGAAAATTGAACATGAAGTTATCCTTATTTCAGTTAAAACAGAGGTTTCGCGTTAGTTAAAAACACAACAACACACGCTTTAAGCATTCTTAAGAGGTTTGACGAATGCTTGAGAATTTAAGCGCGGGGTTAGAGCTGAAGTGAGTTGTTTTAAATAGTATTCCAAAAGTTACCGTGCTATGAGTAGATTTTTAGTAAATAATTTTTGCTCGAACTTTGAGCAGAATCCGTCCTCAAATGTTCTTCTCCTGGTAGGGCATATTACTACATTCCAAACTAATGCATATTACAGTTTTTTTAATCATTGATTCCTATTGGCATACTTCTTTTACTATGGCCTTTGACAACTTGGATGCACAATTTTTCTTGGCAATTTTCTGGTATTGTATTACCAAAATACAGTACCCCTCATTTAGGCAAATACGTAAAAAGGGATACTTATGGCCCCTTTTCTCCCCAATAGCCAGAAACAGCCAGTACATTTACATGTATATTTTGTTTCTGATGTATTTATAATAATAATAGTAGTGATAGCATCTTGAACAAATTAAGGCAATTAACGTCCATACTTATTTACCTGAATGGAGGAGGGCCGGGTGGAGACTCGTGCCGAGGTCCAACCACACCTAATCCAATATTTGTTTTTGATAAACTTATGGCGTGTGAACTGCCACCTTTGGTCGATGTTCCTGGTGAAGTTGTAATTGTACCAACAGAGCCTCTTGACAGTGCTGCCCCAGTAGGCTCTGGCTGGGTGGGAAAATTTTGAAGCGTGCTAGCACTTTGTATAGGAGACAACTGTTTCCCGTGCGGGGGTCCAGTCACAAAAGTATCAAGCGGGACAGTAGGTGCCGAAGGTCCTGACATGCCACCGTATAAAGATGTCGGTACATTTGACGTCGAGGCACCTGCAGTAGAATGCAGGATGTGTGGAGGCGAGTTTGATTGGCGTGATGCTGCTGCGTTTGTTAGTTCTTGTTGTAATACAGAAGAACTTTGTGATGTTGATGGCAAATGAGAAGCCTTTTTACTCTGCTTCTCCAAGCTTGTACTCTCCTTATGCTCCTTGGGTTCTTTGTGCTTTTTAGTTTCTTTAACAACTTCTTTAGCCTCGGATTTCTTTGATTCCTTGGTTTCCCTTGCTTCTCTGTCTCGTTGATCTTTTGCATCACGTTCCTGTACAAAGAAAACAAGATAAATGTTCCTTACCTCCATTTTCATGTATGTACACAGCACTTGACACAGCGTTCTTGTTCACGCTAGTTTTTTTTAACCCAACAGTAATGTTCCTTTCAAACTAAACTCAAGTTTTTGCAACAAAACATAGGCAATAACCCTACTACTGTGTTTTCTTGAGAGCCTGTCAAGTATTCATCTCAAACAAAACAGAATGTTGATGTTGAAATAAAGAGTACAGGAAGTCGGGTGACTAATAAAGTTAGAAACACAGAGTTGAACTCTACCCTACATAAGCTGATTACTGTCGCTGTAATAAATTGTACTGAAATTACTGTACTCAAATCGCTCTAGTTTAACTAATACACAATAAAAGGTAAAAGGTAAAGTCTGAATAGTAGCTAAGTGGTTCATCAGGCTGGAGCTTATCCTGGTTTCTGTAGCATGAAGTGACTAGGAGTATTTCTACATCCCCTTGGATGGGATGCTAGTCCATTGCAGGGCTACCCCCAGCATTAAGTTCACTGGTACCCATTTATAAACCTGCATGGGGAGATGCACTGTGAGAGTAAAGTGTCTTGCCCAGGAACACAACACAGTGTCCCTGGCAAGGACTTGAACCCAGACTACTCAAACCAGAGCCAAGCGCACTAACCATGAGGCCACCGCACCTTCCAGTAGAACTAAAGCACGATGCTATAACCAAATTATCAGTACCTTCTCCTTCCTCCTTTTTCTTCTTGCTTTTTCTTCTGCACTTTCATCTTTGGAGTCATGCCTTCCATTTATTGACTTCAGAAGGGGATTCTCTGCAGTTTCTCTGGTTATTTTTGCTTTAAGTTCTTGAGCAAACTTCTCACCAAAGTTATCTTTCTTGAAAAAGTCATGTTTTAGAAGCTGTGAACAATACGGTCTCTCACCAGGGTCCATTTTGAGACACAGCTAGAATAAAAGGAAACAAATGTTTTGAATCAAGGACCTGATGCTGCTTAAAATTTCTTAAAAAGTCGTTTTTGGCACATTTGAAGTAATTACACATGACAAATTTTGTACATCATATTCCAAGTAATGTACTACAGATTCACTCTTTTATAATGAAACAAGATAATAAAGAATGACAAAAAACTGTGTGGAGCTAAGTAATCTCTCCCAAAGAAAACTGTAAACCAGATAGAATTAGCTTCTTGAGTTGTAAGCTTTTCAACATATGTAAGTACATCACAATAAGGTTACTGTGGTCTAAGAAAATTTATGAGGAGCCCAATGCAAATGTCCTAACCGTGAAATCCTGGGTGCCCAGCACTTATAAGGTTATAATTATGAGAAAAGTAAGTTTTTCCAGTTGCCCAAAAGGAAAAAGTTAGTCGCCTTTGACACCTGGGCACCTCTAGGGCATAGCCCTGCTTCCATAACATAGCACAATTTTGTATTTAGAGGTCACAAGACAGGCCATTTTAAACATATATATAATTTAATCTATTAAGCCACAAAAATAATAAAAGTGGAAGGGTGAGTGGAAATCTTCAAAAAAATATATTCCTTGTGAGTCTTGTAAGCTATAATTAATCGTGCTTTGTGCAACGAGAGATGTACATTACTGCAAGCAATCAGGCTATTTAATTGCAGCCAATAGAATTTAGGGGAAAAAATACACCCACTCCCACTTCCATATAAGGGCATGATCATGATTGCTGTTGTCACTGTCATAATTTCTTGCTGTTTTCAAAATCATCAATAAACAATGTAACTTGGCATCATAACACAAGTGTGAGTTGGTCCAACTAAAGTACCCTGATTAATCTACTGTGGTGGCTTGAGCTACTGTAGTCTAGTTTTTAAACCAGTGTCGACCCTCCAATGAGTTCAGTACTTTCCCCTTTCCAGCACCTAAGCTTTGGGAATCTTATTCTACAAATAGCATTTACCTAATTCTATATTTGTCACCAAACAAATGAGAATTTTAAGACACCAGCTGGTTCATGCCAAACTCACCTTCAGTATGTCCATGGCAGCAGAAGAAACCCTGTGAAACCTTTTCTCAATGGGTTCCACTTCTTTTACTTCTGGTAGCTTCATGCCAACAAACAGGGGATTTCTGTGGAAAATTTCTCTGTGCCTGTTTGTAAGATTACCTGCATGGCAAATAGCAGGACGTCATAGCAAATAAGTCTTACTTTGATAAAGGGGTCTTCGTTTAAAATCATCATCTTTCCCTATAGCCTCTAGTAAGGCATAGGGCCACAATAGTTTAAAATAACATTAACAAAAGGTCTGGACAGCAGGAAGTTCACAATAAGTTTCAGATCCAAAACAACTATTCTAAATTTTACACACATTTAATTGATCAGGTTACACTATATTACAGCTCAAGATAAAGAAGCTTTGTTCATCCTATGGTAAAACCCTTCACTTAATCAGTAACTTAAATATGTCAATTTAATTGTGTAAGCCTATTTTATAATTTATATATATATATATATATATATATATATATATATATATATATATATATATATATATATATATATATATATATATATATTTTATATATATAT